AGTATGAGAATTTTTGTATATTTTGGTTCATATCCAGGAACTATACTAAACTCACATATCAATTCTAATATTTAATCTGTTGAATCTTTTAGATTTTTCTAAATATGTAAACATAAGGAATAATAGCTTTATTTTTCCCTTTATAATCTGTGTATGTTTCATTTTTTCTTGTCCTACTGCATCTGCTGGTATCTCTAAAAAAAAAATAATGTTGAATTATAAGTGGTAGAAGCAGGCATTATGCTAAATCTCCTAGACAAAACATTTAAAAGTATAATATTTGATACAGGATTTCAAAAAAATTAACATGCTGTAGAATTAACTTTTTCTTTTTGGTATACTGTTCTTTGAGTTCTAACACATGTATGGACACATGTAACTACCACCATAATTAGAGAATAGTTTCATCCCTAAAATTCCTTTGTATGCTACTACTTTTTCATCAACCCCCTCCCCGCAACTCTCATCTCTCGCAACTGCTGCTCTGATCCGTGCTTTATCCCTCTAGTTTTATCTTTTCCAGATGTCATAAATGGAATTAAACAGTGGGTGGCCTTCTGAGACTCTTTCACTTTGCATAATGCCTTTGAGGTTCATCTGTGTTGACGTGTTTCTTTCATCGCTGAGTACTATTCCATTCTATGGACATACCACAGTTTATTTATACATTCACTTGTTGAATTAAGCTTTTTTTTTATTAGCACATTCATAGTTACAAATCTTACTTATTCTTTATGCCCTTTATCAATCTCTCACCTTCCTCTACCCCCTCCCCTCTAATAACCATAGGTATGTTCTCTCCATCTGATAGATAACTATTCCCCTGTTGGTTTGTTGACTAGATGATCTGTCCCGTACTGAGACAGGTATGATCAAGTCCTCCCCTACTATTGTAAATCAGATGCTTCCTTTATTACTCTGGAGTGTGCTTTGTGGGGAGAGAGGACCCCCCCCCCCTTTTTTTGGTCTCTGCTGCCTCTCCATGTGTGTCAATGCAGTTGAGAGTCTGGTGTGCCCTCTGCACAGTGGCTATGACTGCTGATATAGACTACCCACTTTTGTGGCAGCCATGGCAATTGTAGTGGCTATGGTGGGTTACCCATGTGAAAATGGTATTTTTGGTGTGCTCTTTACCCAACTGGTTGCGGCTGGGTTCAGCTTTCCCCTGGCTCCATGCCTCAGGACCCCAGTGGTACCCAGGGTGGTGGTGGCAGCTTGCCTAGTTTCAACTGGGTTTGGCTTTCCCTGGCTCCATACCTCAGGACCCCAGTGGGGTCCTGGGGTGGTGGCGGCAGCTTGCCTAGTTGTGGCTGGGTTCAGCTTCCCTCAGCTCCATTTCCCATTCTAAGATGTTCTTGTGAAGCAGCAGGAGAAGGGAAGAGGGAGGGAAATAGGGTAGGAAGAGGAGGAAGTATGGGGGATGTGACCGAGGCCCATTCCCCTGCTACCACTCCAGCAGGGCAGACCAGGAGACTTCCAGTGGTAACTGGCTCATTGCTGGGCTGAATGCAGAAGTCAGTGGGGTGTGGCTAAAGCCCTTGACCCCCCACCCTCCTGGCTCAGGAGCCCAGGGCACTTCCTGTGACGGCTCAGTGGTCATCACTGTACTGGTTACAGATGTCAGGGGGGCATGGCTGAGGCCCTCAGCCCTCCCCACTCCCTGGTTTGGGAGCCCAGGGGGCTTCTGGTCCTTCTACGTTTTATAGGTGTTCTTTGGTCATGTTAGAGCTTTATTAGTTAATATTAAACTTTGTCTCTGATTTGTTAGTATTTTGTTTTTTCTTTCAGTTCTGTGTTGGATTATTTGCTGTTCCCACCACTTAAACTGCACTGTAACTAATATGTTGTCCTTTGCTTACTTCTAAAATGGAGGAACTTCTGTGGGGACCAGCACTTGGGCCCTGTAGTTGAGCTAAGCTAAATTTTTTCATTGCTGCTGATTCCCTGGGGAAGGCTTTTTGTGCAGCTCAGGTTTTAATGGTTGACTTTGTATGTACTTTCAGGTCTGATAAGTTCTGGTACACCTGGGTTGTGTGGAAACTCTGATCTGGGCCTGAGTCTTTTCAGCAAGCTGCACCCCCTGTGGTTCTAGATTCCTGACCCCTATACTCTGAGTGGACCTGTGCTGACTGGGGGGGCAGATCAGCTGTCCATGCTATGCCCTAATGTTCTCCTGGTGGGCCCATCTCCCCCACCACCCACACTCCAAACACTTCCCATGGGACGGGCCATGTGCTGGTCCTTGTGGTGACTCACCAGCCTCTGAGTGGCTCCTTTTTCCTGTTGTCTGTGGCTCCTCTCTCCTATATGTGTCCACAGGAACCCTGTTAGTGGTCTTGCTGGTCTCGGGGCCACCAAGGCCCTTTTTTCCCCTGCTGCCTCCAAGCAACTTCATAGGAAGGGATGAGCTGCAGCTTTTGCCAGCTCTTGCTCCCTGTGCTCAACAGCTCCAGTCTTAAAGTGGCCAGGGCTTGAAATGGTTGGAGGAGTGGTTCTTTCTTTCCTTCTCTCATCATGGCTTCTCCCACCTTCATGAACTCCGTAGGTCCCTCCTCCTCATCTCCTGAGCTCTAGCATCCCCAGCTTGGCTTTCATTGCCTTTTAATAGTTGTAAATTGGTTGACTTGTGGAAGAGAGTGACTTTGGAGACTGTCTATTCTGCCATCTTGATCTAAGCATGTTTTCTGGCTCTGCAAACTATTCTGCTTTTTTGGACCAGCTACTTAGCCTTTCTATGAATCTGCGATGGTGATAGTAATGTTACCTACATCATAAGGTTATTGTGGGGATGAAATGAGTTAATACAAATGAAATATTTAGAATAAGGCCTGATATATAGTAAGTGCCCAATAAATACAACCCATTATTATTGTCCTCAATATAGCACAGATTTTGAGGTGGAAAAGAACTTGACAAGTTCAAGGAATAGAAGAAAGCCAGGGTGCCTGGAGTATAATTAGCCAGGGGAAGGGGCAGTGTGGAATGACAGGGAGAGGCATGTAGGAGCCAGGTCATGAAGGGCATTATGGGCTACAGCAGGGAGTTTTGATTTAACTCTAAGTACAGTGGAAAACCAGGGATGAGACATGATCTGGTTCATTTCTTTAATAGAACCTTCAGGCTGTTGTGAGGAGAATCAGTTACAGTACGGTGGTGGTAAGAGTGAAAGCAGGTGACCCTACAAAGGATACTACCAAGTATAGCGGAAAGATAGTGGCGGCTTGGAGCATAGTGGTGGTTGTGTGGATGGTGACAAATGGCTTAATACGAGGTATCATTTGGAAATAGAACCCACAGAACCTGCTGATGGATTCACAGCTCAGTGAAGCACGTTCCCCACAAAAGCAGCAGTGTAGCTAGTGATAATTATCAACAGGAATGTTCTCCTTGTGTGGATTTACCAAAGATTTCTCTCATCCACTTTTGAATTGAAACCTAAACTTTAATTCTTGATTCACAAAATCCACTTGGAGAAATAGCCTGTGTTTTAGTCTGTTCTGTGTTGGTGTAACAGAATACCTGAGACTGGGTAATTCATAAAGAAAAGAGGTTTATTTAGCTTATGATTCTGTACGCTGGAAAGCCTGTGACTGGATGATGTGTCTGGCGAGGGCCTCAGGCTGCTTCTACTTGTGGCAGAAAGGGGAAGGGGAGCCGTCGTGGGCATAGAGATCACATGATGAGAGAGGGCTCAGGAGAGAGAAACCAAGGAAGCCAGACTCTTTTCAGCAACCCACTCTCACAGAAACTAATACATTCTCAAGAGAGCTCACCCACTCTCCAGGGAGGGCATTAACCTATTCGTGAGGGATCTACCCCCATAACCCAAACACCTCCCAGTAGGCCCCGCTTCCGAACACGGCCACATTGGTGATCAGATTGCAACTTGAGTTTTGAAGGGGCAAACATACAAACTATAGCAGCCAATCTGTCACACATTTTTAAATGAGGACTCACTGACTTCTTTCTAATACTCAGGACCCTAAACACATGTGTAGAAAACCAGCTTATCTCTCAAGAATAGGTACTCATAGCATTTTGCTTTGTGGTTGTCTGCAGCATGGATAGTTTTGTGACCCTGCATGCTTAGCTGTTCTGAAAATAAAGTTGTCTTGGCTGCTTTATGCTTCGCCAGTGGGATGGTAGTTTTAGTGGTTGGCTGGAGTTCCTGTGTACACTTGGGACTTACTGTTGGAATAAACATTAGACTCAGATTAAAATTGGACCAGAAATTTATTTTTGTCCTCTTTTTAGCCTCAATTCACCCTAAAATCTCTCATCCAAGTGACAAATAGTCATGGCTTCTTGAGGTGATTTAAAGATTAAAATCAGTCCTGGGTGCTACTTAGCTTTGCATTCAAATGGAGATTTCTTTCTTTCTCTTTTTTTTTTTTTCTTTTTTTTTTTGAAACAGTTAAAAATAGAGTTCTCTGATCTCACATAAAAGTTTTATTTCCTGCCATGTCTGCTCTTAACAGGTCTGTATTTGTTCTCTGTGGGGCCTTAATCTCCAACTCCTCCTTAAAAACAAATACCTGACCCACTCTATCTGGAACACAGTCATCATGCTTTTAAAATAACAACAACAGGGCCAAGCCCGTGGCGCACTCGGGAGAGTGCGGTGCTGGGAGCGCAGCAGTGCTCCCACGGCAGGTTCGGATCCTATATAGGGATGACCGGTTCGCTCACAGCGCTCACTGGCTGAGCACGGTGCGGCCGGTCTCAAAAAAAAAAAAAAGACAAAAAACAAACAAACAAACAAAAACCCAACAAAACACTATCTTATTTTCTTAATTTAGGGACTTTTCTCCACTTTATCCTGAGCTACTTGTCATATCTTTCCCTGATTTTTCACATCTCTTATCAGGTTAATGTCATATGCTGGCATTTATTTACTTGGTTTATTTGTAGAAGGGCACCTGGAGTCTTGGAGATGCTCACTTGAACTTTGTGCCTGATTTTGTGCTTCATTGTAATTGGCTTCTTTTGTGGTCTTACAGAATACCAAGCTGCTATTTTACACTTGAAGAGGGAGCACAAAGAAGAAATTGAAAACTTGCAGGTACATCTCTTTGTTTCTACTGTACTGGTTATATGAGACTGATACTTAGTTTTCTCATATGCTGAAGTATAAATATTGCTCTTGCGTTGAAGTATTTAACTTGACAGAATCTACAGCTTACTCCTGCCAGTGGGCATCAACTTTAATCTGGGGATGAAGCCTTGGATTCTGTTTTTAATAGAATTTAATTTCCTAATTTAAAAAAATACCATAATGCATTGGATTTGATGGGGAAAATGATTGTTTTATTTTAAAGCAGAAAAGAAGACAGAGTATTTAGACTTTTATTGTTTATATGAAGTATTTCAAAAGTTACTTCTCCTATGCATAGTGTAAATTATTTTGTTGGGCTTACTCCCATTTATGTGCTCACGTCTGCATGTCTCTTGGCACATCCCTGCTCTATTATGTCATGCAGATTAAGGCACTTAAGGAAGGGGTCCTGGTAGGAGGAAGAGTTGTGCCAAGACAGCCTGAAGCCCCAGGGAGTGCTGGGAAATGGCCAACTTGATCCTCCTTAGTGAAGTCCAGAATGACCAACGGATCATGTCCCTTGTCCTGCCATCTAATCAATGTTCTCTGTTTGGCATTTGCTTACAGTGCCTGTGGCAGGAAGTTCAGAATCTTAACTTCAAATAACTAGATATTTAATCAGGTGCTGAGATTAGTTGATTGATGGGTGGGGTAACCCAATACTTCAGGAGAGAATAATAGCAGAATTTAAATAAAACTTCTTGCTCATTTAATGTTAACTCATTACTTGCTAATTTAATGAATGTGGATCAAATATTTTTTTTACTTTTTTTTTCATTGTCAAATAGAAATTGTATATCTTTGGTATACGTAACATTTTGAAATATGTATACATTGTGGAGTGACTAAATTGAGCTAATTAACATATGCATTACCTCACATACTTACCATTGATTTGTGGTGAGAACATTTAAACTCTAATCTCTTAGTGATTTTCAAGTAGACAATACATTGTTATTAACTATAGTCACCGTGTGCTATGCAATAGATCTCTAAAACTTGTTCATCCCGTCTACCTGTTGAACATCATCTTCGTGTTTTCCCCACCCACTAGTTCCTGGCAACAACCATTCTATTCAATAAATCTATCAGTTTGACTTTTTTAGATTCCACATGAGTGACATCATGCAGTATTTGTCTTTCTGGGTCTGGCTTATTTTAAATCACATAATGTCCTCAATTTTCTGAAGAACCTTTAAACTATTTTCTAAAATAGTTATATTGGTTTACATTCCCACCAGCATTGTGGAGGGTTTCCTTTTCTCCACATCCTGGCTGTACTAGTCCATTTTGTGTTGCTGTAACAGAGTACCTGACACTGGGTAATTTATAAAGAACAGAGGTTTATTTGGCTTACAATTCTGGGACAGCTGCATCTGGCGCTGTCCTCAGGCCGCTTCTACTGATGGTGGAAAGTGGCAGGCAGCTGGTGGGTACAAGTAGATCGCAGGGCGAGAGGAAGCAAGGGTCTTTTAAACAACCAACTCTTGTGGGAACTAATAGAACGAGAACTCCCTCATTATTCCCCACACCTAGGGAGAGCTCTAATCCATTCGTAACGGATCCATCCCAGATTTCCACAAGTTCTGGGAGGATAATACATCCAAACTCCATCACTGGCCAATACTTATCTTTCATCTCTTCTGGTAATAGCCATTCTAACAGGTGTGAAGTGATATCTCACTATGGTTTTAATTTGCTTTTCCCTAATGATTAGTGATGTTGAGTATTTTTTCAAGTACCTGTTGGCCATTCGTATGTCATCTTTTGAGAAATGTCTGTTCAGGTTCTTTTTTTTTTTAATTACTTTTAAATTTAATTTTATTTTTGTTACTACTTTTTTTTGTATTCTAAGGTGTTACTGTTGAGCAGTTGCAGAGGAGGGGGAGAGGGGGAAGGGGATAGGGTGGGAGGAGAAAGGGGGGTATGGTTGAGGCCCATGGCACTCCCCCTCATTCTGGTAGGGGAGCCTTGGGCTCTTCCAGCGGCAGCTGGGTGGTCATCACTGGGCTGGATGCAGATGTGGGGATGGTCTGCATGACCGAGGCCCTTGGCTTCCCACTGCCCTGGCTTGGAATCCTGGGGCACTTCCGGCAGTGGCTTGGTGATTGTCCCTGGGCTGGATGTGGATGTCGGGGGATGTGGCTGAGGCCCTTGGACAACCCTGCCTTTGCTCAGGACCCTGGAGTGCTTCTGGTGGCAGCTCAGTGGTCATTACTAAGCTGGATGCAGATGTTGGAGGTGTGGCTGAGGCCCTTAGCCCTTCCCCTGCCCAGTTTGGGAGCCTGGGTGACTTCTGGTCCTTCTAGGTTTTATAGGTGTTCCTCAGTGATGTGAGACCTTTACTGGTTAATATCAGAACTTTGTCTCTGATCTGTGGGTATTTTGTTTTTTCTTTCAGTTCTGTGTTGGATTATTCCCTGTTTCCACCACTTAAACTCTGCACTTGAACTAATTTGTTGTCCATTGGTTACTTCTAAAATGGGGGAACTTCCTGTGGGGACCAGCACTTGAGCCCTGTGGTCGAGCTAAATTGCTGCTTTGCTGCTGATTCTCTGGGGAAGGCTTTTCGTGTGGCTCAGGTTTTAATTGTTGACCTTGTAAGCACTTCCAGGTCATGTGAGGTCCGGAACACCTGGGTTGTATGGACAGTCTAGTCTGGGCCTGAGTCTTTTCAGCAAACTGTAACCCCCACAGTTTTATAATACTGACAAGTCTCCACTGAGTGATCCTGTGCTGATTGGGGTTCCTTTTTCTGTTGTCTGTGGCCCTTCACTCCTATGTGGGTCCAGGGGAACCCTGTCAGTGGTCTTGCTGGCCTGGGGTCACCAAGGCTCTTTTCTCCCCTGCAGCCTCCAAGCAGCTTCATAGGAAGGGCCCAGCTGTGGCTTTTGCCAGCTCCTGCTCTGTGTGCTCACTAGGGCCAGGCTTGAAGTGGCCAGGACTTGAAATGGTCAGAGTGGTCCTTTCTTTCTCTCATCATGGCTTCTCCTGCCTTCATGAACTCCACAGGTCTCTCCTCCTCTTCCCCTGAGCTCTAGCAGCCCCAGCTTGGCAGTTGTTGCTTTTTAATAGTTGTAAATTGAATGATTGTGGGAGAGTGTGATGCTGGGGACTGTCTATTCTGCCATCGTGATCAGAGGTCTGTTCAGGTTCCTTGCTCATTTTTAAATCAGATTTGTCTTCTTACTATTAAGTTATTTAGGTTCCCTATATATTTTGTATATAACCCCTTATGTGTATGGAAATATTCTTCTTTGCAATAAGTAATAACGCACTTTTAAAAAACTGAGACAGTGTATTGGATTATCTATGAAGTCACAAGTAGCAAAGCAATTATCAGGTAAGCAAAATGGTGTATGAATTCAAACCACACCCATCCAGTAAGTTTTAAGTAGTTCAGAAGAGGGAATGAGTCCATTTCACAAAGAAACAAAGTGGAAAAATACCTGTTTCCTAGGGGGAAAAGAGAGGTGGAGACACTTATCTCCTTTGTTGCAAAATGGCCTGCAGAGACCTCTTTCTTTTTCTTTGTTATGGTGTGAAAAATATTCTCAACTGTCTCAGAGGAACTGAAATTGATGGGGCATAGTTTAGGAAACTGATTGTTAAAGAGGGGGTAAGTACAGAAATGATTCTGTAAGCAGATGTTTTAATAGCCAAGTTGTAAGAGTTCACATTAGCTTTCCCTAAGCCCTGTGAGGGCTTTCACAGCTGAATAATATTCTCAGTAATAGTAGATGCATACAGTTTTTGAGTTCTTACTATGTGCTGGACATGGTTGTAGCATGTTACATATATTATCTTGTATCATCTCTGTGAAAGTCCTATGATCTTACATCTCAAACTAAAAAAAAGATTGGAGATGGGAAAAAGAAGGAAATGGACGAAAAGTATATTGTGGTCATAATCTTTTAAAATATGGAATAGATTAAGATATGATTTTTAAATGTTCCTAATTATACTTTAGATTTTTGAAAAGTATTTCTAAATTATCTGCTCTGTTGATGCTATTATTAGTAAACTTAAACATTTTGCCTCATATTTATGATTTATACTAATTGCTAAAACCCTGTGGCCATGATACGCTACTGCCATTGGAGCAGTGTGCCCAATTTCTACACTAAACTGTAATTTGAAATGCTCCTGGCAGTCATGGACAGAAAACCCTCAATAGGAAACTGGCATCTCTTAACTCTGATCTGACCCAAAGAAGTGTTTCATTTGGCAAACACAGCATTTTAAAGATTGAATTAGGAATAAATATTTTAAAATATGAAGATTTTTTTAAATCTAAAAACCTGGATTTCTAGCTGCTTCTAAAAAAAAGTGAAATATCTAGCAACAGTGGGCTTATTTTCCTGTATAATTTCCACCTGCTGGGGTTGAGGAGCAGGCATCCACTTCAGTTAGGACAAGTGCTCTGCAGTTTGCCACTGTCCACTCTGGGTCATTTCACCTGCTTGGCTCCTCTGTGCTTTAGTTAACCCCTGTGTCTGGGTGATATTGAAAATAAAATGAAACAGTAGTTTGGCAGCAACACCAACCAGTCAGAACAGATGTAGTCATAAAGCAGAAACCTAGCCTGGCTGTCTTTGTGGGTACTCACTGAATATCATCCTTACCCGTTTTATTCCACAAAGTAGCAAAGTTCCAACTATTGTCACAGGACTCGTGGAAGATAATGGGTGGGAAAATTGCTATTTTCTTGCTCATTTCTTTATGTGTGATTTCCATTTCCATTGGCAGCCTTCGTTGTCTGTGATATTTTCTTTCTCCCCTTACAAAGTCATGGGGAAGTCAGATGTGTTTCAGGACTTCTTTAACATGCCTTTCTAGAATAAGAAGGATTTCATGCTTAGAGAACATAAGAAAAGTAAATCATTCTGTCACCACATAAAAGAATGTATGTATCACATTTAGTTTTTTTGGAATGTTTTCATAGAATTTTAAGAAGCCATATGATT